TCTCAACATGGCTGCTGTCCTTTTGTTTCGTGCATCTGCTGTGCCTGGACTTCACCGTGGCCGAGAAGGAGGAGTGGTACACGGCCTTCGTCAACATCACCTACGCCGACCCGGCGGCCGGCAGCGCCGAGCTCCGCAGCGAGAAGAGCGAGTGCGGGCGTTACGGCGAGCAGTCGCCCAAGCAGGATGCCGGCGGGCAGGTGGCCGTCTCCGCCTCGCCCGCCGACCGCTACGCCTGCGACCCCGGCACCCGCTTCAACGCCCCGGCGCCGGGCAAGAGCTGGGTGGCCCTCATCCCGCGGGGCAACTGCACCTACAAGGACAAGATCCGCCACGCCGCCGCCCAGAACGCCTCCGCCGTGGTCATCTACAACGTGGGCTCCAGCAACGCCAACGAGACCATCACCATGCCCCACGCAGGTGAGCCCCGGCGCCCTGCCCGCGCTGCGCGGGCGCACCCCGAGGTCTGCGCGGGGTGGATGGACGGGCTGCATTTTCCGCTGCGTGGCAGCCCGCTCTGCCGTCCCGCATCCTTGGGGTGGGAGCTGCTGGGGGGGAAGGTGTCCTCGCACCTCCTGGCAGGGAGCAGGGTGGGCTGCGGGCCTCGCCGGGTGCCGAGTGCCCATCCCGGGGGCCATGGAGCACCTCTCCATGCTGCCACGGCAAAGGATGGATGTGCCGCTAGCAGCAATGCGTGCTGGTGCTCCAGGGGTGAAAAGTTTGGGAGATGATGTAAAGTTTGGGTCTAGTTGGAGGAATGGATGGGACCCTGAGCCCGCTGTGGGGCACCGATGTTTTGGTGTGTCCTGAGGATTCTCTGGCAGGTGCCATGTGGGATCGGGTGTGATTGAGACCTTCAGAAGAGGAGAAGCGTAGTGTTTATGGTGCAGGCTTATCAAGAGGTGCAATAAAGTAGGGAACACAGCGTCCACTGTCTTGCCTATGATCGTGTAAAAGCTGTGGGATCGCATAGGAATGCCGCGTATCTGATTTGGTGAGAACATGAGCTGTTTTGTCCAGGACTGGGGTGGGGTGTGGGGAGGTTGTCACTCTCCCAGGTGAACGCTCTGATGGAGTTTGTGCTCGCAGTGTCAGCACATGGGTGCTTGGGTCCCAACGTGTGCTCGTCAGCTAGAACCGAGCAGAAAGCCGGTCGTCGGAAACAACCCAAACGTCGGGTGATGCCCACAAAAAGCGCTGTTTTTGTAACAATGTTTGATCTGAAATAATGTTGTTTTAAAAACAGATCACCAGCTTTATATTTAGGGACGGTGTTTTCTGCCAGGGGTCACTGGTCTTTTGCACCAGCAGCCTATGCCATGGAGACTAAAATGCCACCTATTGTGAAATCTCAGTTTGGTTTGTATCCAGTAACTAATCATGCCCAGCTGTTTCATGCCAGTTGAATCTTAACAGAGTTAGGGGTAAATTGACACACAGAAAGGCTGCAAAAGAGGATGTTATTCTAATGCCATTTTAAATTTCCACAGAAAACTAGCTAGCGTTGATGTGCCGAAAAACAATTTGTTGCCTAACTATAATGCTATAATACTGCTGATGCAAAAGTAGCGCTTTTGGAACCGCTTGTGTGCAGCCTCTTTAAGAGATTAACCGTTCATTTGAGCAAATTCATGTTTCTTCAGTAGCATTGGTGGAAGATGGGGTTTTTTAGTGTTTTCTATTGGTTTGGTGAGACAAGCAATTCATAACCTCTTGAGCTTCTTAAAACCGTGCTTTATAACCTGTACATGGTTTAGCAGCTGTTCAGATTATACTTCTTGGTACTTTAAGTATCAGAGATTATATCTTAAGCAGTATAAAGTAGTAGGAGCTTGGCATACTTACCCACCCTTAAAGTAAAGCTCAGGCTGTTTCAAAACGTAAGATGCATCGCTTGTTCTTGCCTAGTGAGTTTCTCTAAAACTGCCAACATGTTGGATCAATTAATGGTTTGCCTGTTTTTAAAGTATGCGCTAAGCTGGTTTCCCACACAAATGGTGTTTTATTAAGAAACAGTGGGAGTAAAAAATGTGTCTAACCTTTTAAAATGTTAGAGCTTTTGTTTGTTTTTAAGTCTAAAATGAAGTAAGCAGGGGATCTTTCGTACTGAGTGGCCTCAGCTTTCAAAAATACAAACACTGTATCACTTATCTTGGGAGCAGCTTCTTTTATGTCATATGACTCCTTACAGTTTATTCTGAGAATCCTTTTTGCGTACCGAATTGATACCCAGCAGTGCGACTGTACAGTACCAGACACTGAAATGAATGGAAACGTGCAGAAAATAACCTGGACTTGTTGAACGTGGTCAGTGAGACTGAAGGGCTTTGCTGATTGATGGTATGAAGGTGTCTTTGTTTTAAGGATTTTTGTTCTGTGAAGTTGAAAAATGGTTGTTGGTCTTACCTTAGGGAAAACCTGCCCTCTGTGTACAGGCAAAACTCAGAGGAGTTTTACAGCTTAAGTCTGCTGGAACAGAAGGAAACATAGTTATTCTTAAACAAGTATTTAACAAACTAGCAGGGATTCAGAACTGGATTTATCTTTACTCTTCCTGTTGTACCACCGTTACGCTGGGACAAAGTGAATGTACGAGCTGCGTAAAATTATCTTTCTGACTTGCAGCCTTTGACGTTTGCTTGGTTCCAGTCTAAATGATAGCACAAGATTCAAGGGAAGAATGAATCAGGTTCTTGGTTTCTGAGTTCAGCAGCATCTGCGATGCTCAACCCACGCCAAATCTTGGAGTGGGAAGAAGAAAATTCCATCCTGGAAAATACTTGGGGGGTGGGAGGGGAGGGTGGAATAGGACCTAAAAAGCAGTTTAAAAGTCAAAAGAAATATGATGTTACTCCCTCTTTTTTTTTTTTTTTTCCTTTCTTTTCTCCCACAGGTTTTTTTTTTTGAGATTTCATATAAGCTTAAATAAACTCTGTCTATACAGAAAACAGTATATCTTGTTGCATAACAATGTGGCTCTTGCCCTTACTGAAGAACTATTACTCCTATGAGAGATATTTTTCCGTATGTACATTCTTCTCTTCTGATGCTTTGCCTTCTTTCTTTTACTGTCATTTTATCTCTTTGTGCTTTTTTTTCCTGCTCCTCTCACCCCCACTCCCGTTTCTTCGACTTTACGCTTGTGCTTCATTCCCCGTCTTGACCACGTTACTGTGCTACTTCATAGTGCTTCGCCCTTGCCACTCTCTTCCCAAAGTTCGCTTTTTCCTGTCAAAGATCTTACTTCACAGCTGTATGGTTAATTATATTTCCTGTTTTCTGCTACAGTGCATGTCAGTGACCCTTTGCTAACATGGTGCCTTCTGATTTTAAAATCTATAGGCAACTGAAGCAAGATACCATTCTTGAATTTGAGGGAGGGCTGGTAGACCTCCCCCCGAGACCCTCACCACCCACTCCCCAGTCAAAACCAGGGTGGTATTGTATTCTTGAAATACAACTTTCCAGGCTTTATTTATAGTGCACCAGACGGAAGAGACCAAGTGTTCGATTTGAACCTGTTCGCTCAGAGTATTGAAAGCCTTTGCTTTCAGGGAGCTTGTACGTAGGTGACTGCTTGTACATGCAGAAGAGTGAGGTAGAGTTGTGACATCTGTGTTCGCAGGGAGTGCAGAGCTCTTGTGGTTCTCGCGCTAGGACACGCTTAGCTTTTGCATCATCTGCTACAGCCTTTGCAAACCTGCATCTTTATTTTTATTGGCTTGAAGTGTGGTATAGGAGCTGCGAGCCCAACTTTGTTTGCTTTTTGACTAAGTACACTTTAACCAGAGAAGGAACAAAAGCATCTAGAATTTCTGTTTCAGATGCTTTTTATTTCTCCTAAATCAACTTTTCTTGTAGAAAAGTACTCTAATAATATAGAGGATGTTCTTTTTCCTCCAGAAGAATAATCTATGGTGTTGGCTAGGGTTTCTGATTGGCATTTTTTCTTATTCAGAACAAATTAGCTGTTATTTAGGTCTGAAAAGGCTCTAGCCACTGTGTCTCCATTTAATAACTTAGTATTAATTGGAAGTATTCTTACTACCTGTTGTAGCACATATCCTAACGCTTCCTCTGAGCTCTGAATAGAGATAGTAAGGGAGCCTTCCGGAAGATGATTCAAGATGAGAACTTCCCTCTCTCCAGCTCTTACTTGAGGGAACCTAGCTTGGCCACTTCTAACTTGGGCACATGTCAGGTGCTTGGGGCTAGGGAGGGATGTTAGCTGCAACTGCACACGTGATTCATATGTGGGCAAAGACCAAATCTTTAGTATTCAATACAGCTTGTAACATTCAGTTTGAATTCTGGGGTGCATCAGGATATCTTACAGAATGGATATGATTATTACATGAAGTAAATTACATCCAAAGTATTTCGCACTAGAAGCGTATGTAAGTCAGGCAGTTTTACATTCTCCGTATTCTGCTTTTCCAGTGCATGCCATCACAAATTTTAAGTCACGTGCTGCGTGTGTGACAGCCTGTTTTCAATGAGAGGCAGATGCCTCGTTTTTTGTAATGGCTCGTCCACACTGGCAGCAACTGTCAACTGTATCTTTGAGACATGAATCTCATATGTGGTCTAAGATGACTCTGACTTCTTCCCTCCCTCTTTGGCCCTCAAGTGCAGCATGTGTGCACCAGATTGCATGAGGAGGGCATGGCCATCCCACTGCAAAACCAGGTGTGTCCCTCCACACATACTGTGAATGTGGCCAGCCTTGATTTGTGCACATTCAGTTCTATAACAGTTTCTTTCCTTGTACTCAGATTTTTGTTCCACGATCAATGACTAGTCGTGCCCTTTACATATTTCAAGATGTGTTGGTAGTAGTTTTGGCTTTGGGCTGCCCTGTAGATTTGTGCTGATGTGCAAATTAGAAGTTGAAGATTTCTCTCTTTACAGACTTAATTCAGCACTGTAGCTACATTTGTTCCTTTACTAAAACAATTGTTTTCCTAAACTTTTGTTGAATTCTAATGAGGAAAATGCGCTGACAGCACTCACGCTGAATTTACATATGGATAAGTGTGAATTAATCAACGGTTGGAGATTTCAGGCTTCCAGGGCCTGCTATAATTATTTTCTGTTCCAGGCACCCAGGATTCATTCCCCAGCTCAATGGGGGAGGGAGATGGAGATTAGTGCATCTCTGAGCCTTACCCATCATGAAATTGAGGCATGGCTGGCGTGGGCTGCCGTCCTTAGGAACTCAGAGGAGCCCCTGGATCCATCGTGTAGGCCTGGCTTTCAGTAGTGTTTGAAAATCTGGTTCTTGATATTTATCAAAATTAAGGATTTATAGCATTGGCTAGAGCCAGTTCACTAGTGAGCCACACTTCTGCCTACTGGTTCTGCTGTGGCTCAGTGCTCGACTTCCCTACTGCGGATGTGTTCAGTTATGCCAAGCGGTG